CTCCTATTACAATCTCTCTCAAAATCTTATATCAACAATTATTTACTTAAAAATTACAAACACGTTTTCAGATTTATAGGATTTTGCTCAAATGTACGCAGTTTATCGTCGCTTTACGGTACACATTACCCTGGCACAATCAGTCCGACTTACAAGGTATTTAATGCCGCGGAAAAGCGGATTTTATTACTTAAAGCATTAGAGTTAAATCTGGTTAAATCCAGATACCATATATCTTAGCTCATTGTCTAAAACTATTATTATTAAAAATAAGTTAGTTTCCATATTTTTATTATTTTTTCAGCAAGAAAAGCAAAAAATGGCGAAGCTGATTGTTATTGGAAGAACGTTTAACAAAGTATGTAAGAAATATATAAATCAGTTTTATACTGATTTATATATTTCTTTTTATTTATTAAGGTGTTAAAGGACAAAAGCGAATATTTCTGTTAGTTGAAAACTCGATTGAACATAATATAGCTAAAATGTTGGCTCCAATATTGGGGTAACCTTTTAAGGTACAAAATGTTGGTTCCAACATTCACTGGGCTGTCTAGTACCTAAGAAAATGCTAGCCAAATTTTGGAGTGACTATCTTCTAGCTACAAAGGTTGGATGAATGTCGTTGGCGTAAACGAACCGTACTTACTATTATTGAAATAGAACATAGTACTTGTAGTCATATGAAAACTTATATTGAACAACATAAATTGTTATAGTTGTTTTACAAAAAAAAAACACACACTGATTAAATCTCTATTATAAATCTCACGTAGATATTAGTAGAAACAACATTTTTGAATAAAAACTTTTACGCTTCCAGAGTCGGTAAGATTCTGCGAGGTTTTCTGACTGATACAATATAATTTTTTTTTATCGTTTAGCCACTAATCCGTTACTTAAAATGCAACAAATAAGATGATTAGGCGTTAGGACTTAATGCTTCACTAGCGCTCTCTGGAGAGCGTAAAAACGCTTAATCATGAAGAAACATGAGGTTATATAACATTGTATATTATCTATCATTGGAACATAACGTGAAAAGCTCCATTCAATTCGTACCGAAACATTTAAGTATTGAGATACAAATATTATATTGCTTTCCCTGGACTTTTACAAATATTTCAATACCAGAATTAGCCAAATCAGACCAGCCGTTCCCGAGTTTTAGGTAGACTAACGAACAGTGATTATTTTTATTCAAAAGAAAAAAATTAATGGTGAAGATGATATTTAAACATATCCTTCTACTTTTAGGGATTTATTTTGTTGAAATCCAGCACGTTGGGCAACAAATGCCGAATGTTATCGAACTTTTTTACAAAACCTCTGGGATACGCGTCTTTTCGGATTGAATAGAGCTTTCAAAATACATAGAAAGTATATTTGGAATATGAATAACGTGTAAACTAAAGCTGGTCCCAGACATATCAAGTTAAACATCAGACTCCACTTAATTTGATATCTAATTTACAACACACGACTTAAAAATACATTATATAGACAAAAATTAACACGATTTAAATACACCACAAGCATTAATTTAATACGACACTATGTCTAGTATATGACAAAAGTAATATATTAAAATGACTTTACATTTTTTTCAACACCATGTAGATTAAAACAGTGATATTTTCAAATACAGCCACATTTTCTTAAAGACAACACAATATTTTGAAATAAAGTCCTGTAAATGCGTCTAAAGGTTCTACAAACTATAAATATGATTCTAGGGTTGCCTACCTCACAAAGATAACACAAAAAAATAGTTTATAACAAAACTGTTTTTATAAAGGTTGGTTCTTTAAAACTTAAGTAGGCCCAACTTTTTAAATTACTTATACATCATTGCTTGTATTTCAATCATCGCACAGCCACTCAGAACTTATGACCACAGTCCAAAAACCTGACTGTCTTCGTAAGCTACCCTATAACGAGCTCTACTGTTCAGCATTTTAAGTTTTCAGCAAACTTCTAGTGCATCTACATAATGTTGAAAGAAATTGTATAATTTACAAATAAACATGATCGAACAATCGATACGAATATTAAAAAAAAGTAAATAATAACTACATTTGACAGTAAAGTTGACATTACACAGGATGTTATAATTATGGCGACAATTAGAACCATTTCTCATAATGGGACCAACCCTACAAAATAATGGAAGATAAGTAAAAAAATAGATTTTTTTATGATACTGATTGCATTTACATATAAGAATTACTAATATTGTCTTATTTGGGAGAAAAAAATAAAAAAGAACGTTATATCTGAATATTATTAACGTTTTTTTAAATCATGGTTTGGGCGATGCATGACGTAGGTACAGCCACTAATTTTGTTTTAAACATGACTCACCGAAATGTTCTATAGGTGTTTGTATTTTTTTTTTTAAGAAAATGAATATAATATATTTAATAACTATAGTAATGTATAGTTTTTTTTTCACCTAAGTCTAAACCTAGCTGAAAGCGTACTATGGATGTCTAATGTCTACTTTTTAATGTCAGGCACTTTATTTTGTAATGATTTTATTATAGTATAATTTCTTACTTATTGCTGGTTATTACTCACATTGAAATATATATCTTATTGCTCTTGTATTAAAGTCCATGTATAATAGCTACAGCTCATCATTTGTAATTGGCCAATAAGTAGTCGTCGCCCAGGGGATAAGGGGCCCGCTTCTCATGCATGAAGAAGCGGGTTCGTAACCCACTTTTGCCGACTTTAATATACTTTTTAAGTTTATTTAGACGCGAACTGGAAATTATAAAAAATACAGATACCCTTGTACCTGTATTTTTTATAATTTCCAGTTCACAATCGCCTTGAGCAAGCGTGGTAATAAATGTTCTGCGATTAGAAGTGGCTTTTGCTCAGTAGTGGGCAGTTATAGGCTAATGATGTGACGTTAAGTGCGATTGGCCAATCTTAGAGCTACGGAGTGCAGCTCTATCGCTACTTGTGCATTGGAAGAAATGAAGTTATTTGTATTTTGGTATATTACAAATTTAACAATGGTTATAAAAATAAATATTAGAACAGTGAGTAGTATCCAGGCACTGTTATTTAACATAATTGTTAAGTAAATATACATATTAGAAAAAATAAAAAAGTAAAGTTTCAACATGAAAAAAAAAACCATTGATATGCGATGGTTGAAAAAATGATTTAAAACTGTTTTATTAATGTAAAGAAAAATAAAACATATGATTTTAAGGGGTTCAAAAAACGTGTTGTTTTTTTATTATACTTAAAAAAAAGAGGTTTTAAGAAAACAACCCTTGGGGAGTTTTTAATAATATGGTGGGTTCATTAACTTAATACTGAAAGTATTAGCATTTTTAGTTAGTAAGTTGTTATAATAATATTATTTTATGTAAGTAATGTTGTTAGTTTAAAAAATATTGGTTAGGTTAGGCACATTAAAAACTAAACTTATTTAAATTGCAAACCGATTTTTAGTAACAAAATTGTAGTCTTATTTTTTGGAAATGATAATTTTTTTAGTAGTTTTTGAAGGAAAGTGAGAAACAAATTTATGTATACATCAATTTTGGTTAAAAATACTGAATAATTTAATTAAAGTTAAAGACGAAATATACAAAAGGACATCTAATTGCTTAATGAGGCGGTGCTAAATATAAAAAAATGCGAAATTTCACATAAAATCTCATTTTTTACTTAAAACTAATTTATAGACACAAACAAATTTTTGTTTTAATCATTCAATTAACGGCACTTATGGAATGGCCGTTACGAAACGGCCACTTCGTAGATAAAAATATGTTGTAACTATCATTTCTGTGCGTAAAATTAAACAATTAAAACAAAAACGAAAAATATGGACTTAAATAATAAAATTGGTCGACTTAATAAAAGTTTTATAAATTCTTACTTTATTAATGTTATGCCTTATGAGAAATAAAAGAATGTCATCTGAAATTCCGAGTTGAGAACTTCACATTAAAGACAGTGTAAGAACGGCTTTTGCCTACCAAATGGTAGAGACTGGTCGTAAACTGACACTTGCGTGCCTTTCTTTAGAAAGAGTCCACTTAAACTGGTGTGGTTCTTTCCTCAAAAGACCAGTACAGTATAAACTTTCACGGTCCTCTCATATTATAGTATTTATTCACATTGTCTGGGTTTTAAAAGAGGTGGAACTCTGAATTTGTTTCGGTATTTTTTCTCAGACTAGTCAGATACGAAATGTCGGCTTCATTTAGTTTTGATTTTGACGTGTGAAACTGTCGTTTTATGGCCTATTTACAAAAATAAATTCATTGTTTCATTAATAGACGAACACCCACTTTTTATTTTAAACATCCCGATACCATATGCCACAAAAAATCGTTAAAGAAGTTCTCAATTTGATATGCATTCACTTTCCGTTTCTTATAAGGCCGTACATTAATAAAGTATAACTAACAAAAAACTGAAATTGAGGAATGAGCTTAAATAATAATAATAATGTAGATTCCAAAGAAATTCATTCGATTACAATTATTTTGCCAAAAATTTTACGGAAAAATAAATAGTTTTAACGCTACCTAAGATTAATTTACAGATCTTGGGGAGATTTTTACCAAAAAATTGGGTAGAAATTTTAAATAAATACTAAACAGCCCATTCCTCAATTTAAACAAAAAATGGTAAAAAACTACCAAAATCGAAGACGATAAACTTAATATAATTTTGATTCACACTAAAACATAAAAATTAAAAAGTTTGCTTTCGAAAATCCTTAAAATTAAAATGCTTAAGCCTGTTATGGCAGGATTTAAAAAGAATATAAGGACAATGCGCGTTATGAACCCTTAAAATAAAGATGTACACATTGGGATGATAAAAAAAGTACACATGAAAAAAGGTTGACCACGAATTGTGAGAAAAAATAAAAATGTCTAATTGACAGATTCCGATGACAGATGAGAAAAATGTATATATCAAATACAGAATTAATTACTGAAATATGTGTGTATATATGTATGTATGATTATTTAATAAAATATAGCATTTCCTGTGTGCACAATCCTTATAAAAATAACATAACATTTTTTTTTGTTTTCTATTATAAACGATAACAACATAATGTACTTCTGTATTCTGTAAATCTATGGTTTTACTTTTTTATCTAGTTGAAGGAACACTGTTTCTGTTTATACTAGTAAGCAGTTCTATTGCGTTTTTAGGGTGAATTTTCGTATGAAAAATATTCTTTATAATAAAATAAACACCTCAATGTGATAGAAGACAGAAACTAGATTATTTTATGTCAAATCAAATTTATCTTTTGTCATGCTTAGATGGCACCACTGAGACCTAAGGTCTTGTTAGTTGTTCTTGTCAATTATCTCAATAATTAATGTAGCGTCAAATTGTAATTATAAAGAAAACATTGTCACTACATTAAAATGGTTTTAATCACTTTTCAGACATGGAAATAACCATTAAAGTTTTATATGGAGAATATTTATAAAATAATCTAGCTCCGTTATTTTCAGGTAAATGTAAGGCGGTGTACACAATGTTGTTAATTTACCAATGAGACCTGTTTAGTGTTATATAAATGTTATGTTACTAACACGCATTGTCGTCTAAGAGTCAATCTGACCTTTGCTTTATATAGAAGCAGTTTATTCGGAAGTGATCGCACATCTGTCGTACCTGTGAAATAAGAAATATTTGGATTTAGGCTGATTTTTCAATAGTCAGATAAATGTTATGTGAGGAACAAAATTGTTGCTGTTACTGTCTTATACAAACATTGTGACGCGACAGCATCATAATTTTATTATTCCCCAGGTAACTTTTATCTAACCATTGAAAAATCAGCTCTTAGATAAATAGATCAGCAAGGATAGTTATTAGTTAGCCCTTTGGATAACTTTTGCGAGTTGGCTTCAGACCCTTGTAAACCTTCCAACGTTCCTGGACCCTGTGATACCGTGATTGGAAGCGAACAAACAAGGTAACAATGAAAAAGTAGACCTATCTTCACTGACGAACTGACTGACAGACTACATTCCATGTTAATGTTTCGAAATTACCTGTTAATTGGAATAAACGACACACAAAACAACCACAGCGTTGTGTTTCGCCGTGAGTGAGGTATTTTTTGCTCCCCCTATCCCTTGCCAATCCTTGAACATCCATAACCCTTATCCCCAAAAGGCAGGCAAAGCACTCGTAACTCCTCCGTAGCGGGTTTCCATGGACGGCGCTGATTGCGTACCTTCAGGTAATCCATCTGCTCATTTATCGACTTATCCCATACAAAAACAAATGGAGCCGAGCAGTAATAGTTGAATATCCATAACTTTATCGTTGTGTTGCGAGTGTCCATGGGCGGCGCAGATTGCTTACCATCGGGTAATCCGTAAGTTCGTTTGCCGACTTACCCCAAAAAAAAAAGAAATGGAGCCGAGCAGTAGTAGGTGGTAGGTTGATAATACTTACGACGCAGGCCCCGTAGTGTATATGTGCGAGTACAGTGAGTGCGGTGACGGCGTAGAATGCGGCGGGCTCGTACTGCGGCTGCAGCAAGGACAGGCCGGCCGCCGCGCATAGCGGGTACACCAACACGTTTGTACGCTCACTGCGCTGGTTGCTCATCTGACTCACTATTAGACGACACTGGGACAAACACAACATTTTATAATAGTGTGGGAGAGCCAAGCTTCAGCACGAATGCGTCGACCAGACCGGAGTGATACCACGACCTCACAGAAAACCGGCGTGAAACAACCCACAGCGTTGTGTTTCGCCGTGTGAGTGAGGTTACTGGAGGCCTAATCCCTCCCCTTCCCCTATCCCTTCCAGATCCTTAGTAATCCGCCTGCTCGTTTGCAGACTTATACCATAAAAAAATACAAAATAATTATAATAAATGCGAAAGTAACATTATCTGTCTTTTCTTCACGCCTAAACTACTTAACCTATTTGAGTGAAATTTGGTACAGACATAGTTTGGAACTCTAGAAAGGACATAGGATAGTTTTTAAACCAAAACTCTACAAGAAGTCGCTAATCTATGAGAACAAAGTCGCGGGCAAAAGTTGGTCACTATACTAATCCAGGGTTTCAGATCTACATACTAAATTTCAACCAAACCGTTCCAGCCGTTTTTGTGTGGGAGTATTAAAAAACATACATCCATCTATAACATTCTCAGAAACTTGCACATTGATAATATTAGTAGAACTAGCTGATCCGAACTTTGACATTAACTAACTTTTCCTAATCTTTTAAGCCTACACTTAAGTGTGGGAGAGCCAAGCTTCGGCACGAATGGTTCATCTCGAAGTGATACCACGGCCTCAGAGAAAACCGGCGTGAAACAATCACAGCGGTGTTTCGCCGTGTGAATGAGGTTACTAGAGGCCCAATCCCTCCCCCTCTCTACATACATTCCCAATCGTTAAATATACGAAACCCTTATCCCCAAAAGGCCGGCAACGCACTTGTAACTCTTTTGGTGTTGTTGGACATTCGTCCATGGCCGGCGCCGATTGCTTATCATCAGGTAATCCGTCGGCTAGTTTGCCGACCTATGCCATACAAAACCAATAAAGTCACGGACGGACTACATATCAACTGCAAAAGCAAAGACTGCACGGTTGGCGCGGTGGCTGAACAACTGGCTGCCAAACTCTTTGTGTGATCTATTAAGGTCAGTGAGGATCTCGACCGTTTCAAGGTAGGACAGTACAAGCGTGTTCCGCCTTTTGGCTTTCAGTATACCACCATTTGAGAATTGGGGGCTCAGGTAACCTTATTCACACTGGTTTTTCTGTTACATATTTTCGGTCGAGGCAAGCCATTCGTGACGAAATGCCTCTCCATCTGGAAAAACAGCTGACTTTTGTCACCTAGGGTGGGGCGAGGGGGGTGATTCTCATACTCCTGGCTAACTCCACGATGTCTTATTGCGATTACCGCAGCCCTAGCTGAACATCATCTCTGTTGGGCCACATCTAACATCAAGGCTAGTAATTTTTGTAGATGCAAAAAATTATGTCGTTTAATTTCCATCCTTCAAGGATGACTTCCTTAATTATACTTAGTAGATTTATATAATATGTAGCATAGTGGATAGTAACCATTCCAACAGTAGTTTAGTAACAACCAAAAAATTAAATCCATTACATCTGCCTATTCCATATTTTAATAAACACAGTAAAGAAGTATAATATTAAATAAAAACAATTTTTTAATAAAAAAAACAATAAATAAAATTAGAAACAATAGCGTCTCCACTAAACGGAACAGAATCAATCCACGTAAACCGAACAACTTAAGTGGTCATGCTAGAGAGTGATTTTACGTTTAGTATAAGTGTCTTTATAAACTGTGTGCATTATAACCCCGGTTTTTTAATACGATTTCATTTGGAATAAGTTTTAAAGTTGATTTCTTAATAAAATATCAATATTTAAAATAGAATGATGACATTTATATAATGATAATATTATTACTTAACGAAAATATGAAATTCCATCCTTTTGTATCTTAGATGTGTGTGTTTTTGCAGTTTTTTAACGAGCACTGAGGCGTGTTTACCGTCGGAGCATTCGAGTGGTACTAAACTAAAACTACACCGCGATGTTGAGTTTGGTGGACTTTCAGTTGGGACATTTTTTTGCCACTGATTGTGTATCTAGTTCTTTATTAGTGATCGATGATAAATAAAAGTCCCTAAATAAATAAGATTAAAAAAGGGCTAGTAATAATAATACTTACAGCGACATTACTGAACAGGGTTCCAATGAGGAGGAACAGAGCTCTGAGGTCGTACTCGGGCAGTCGGCTAGACTTGTGCACCCATACTGAGCAGACTAGCAACATCGACGCAAACGACCATAGAGGGCGCAACGCTTCCGTCGGAGAACGCATCTTGCCTGTGCGTAGTTTGTACGACCTGCGAAAAAAAAAGAATAATTTTATGGAGTGCATAGCTTGGTTTGTTAGTATATTTTCCGAGCCTGGAAAATACTAATCGAATGTGGACATTCTTTATTTAATTGTATAAAGTTATAATAATAGTAAATCTATATATATAAATATACATATATTTATATATATAGATTTACTCACAATATGTGTTTGTTAAGCGCTGAAGTTAATAAAGCCTTGACAAATTTAAGTAATTCTTTTTTTTTTGGTTTATCAGAAGAATATTCTTACAAAAATTGGATATAAGCGACATAACAAGATAATGAAAGCAATCATCATCATCATAATCATCATCATCATCATCTGATAGCATCAGCCAATAAGTGCCGATCAGTGAGCACTGCCAATGACCTCTTCTCGTACGGAGAAGGTTTAAGCATTCGTCACCACACTTGGCCAATGTGGGTTCGCGATTTCAAACTTATAATAAGAAATGATTAGTCCAGGTTTCCTAGGGCGCCTTAACTGCCGGGACACTACAGCATTAATGATGGACTCAATACTTACTTATAAATATTATAAAGTGCTACAGGTAAGTTGGTGACGACTCCCGTACCGTAGATTAATACTTCGAACACGTTGGCTAATGTGTACCCGCCGAAAACATACTTCTTGTAGAAACCCGTGCCTTTCACACCCGTCCACAGGAAGAACGCTGTTGATGCCTGAAAAAAAATATTAACTTTTTATAAGTAATACTTGATAGTAGCAAAGCTAATGAGCTGCTTACAGTCACCATAGCTTGCTTTATGGCCAACTAGACTTCGTTCGCGTGGAATAGCGTCTTCCTGCAGATTTTTGGTATAAAAACTATCGTATGTCCTTTCTAGAGTACCGATAAAGACTATCCTATGTCTTTTCTCGAGTTCCAAACTATGCCTGTACCAAATTTCACAGAAATCGGTTCAATAGTTTAGGCGTGAAGAAAAGACAGACGGACAGACAGACAGAGTTACTTTGCAAAAAAAAAAAAAAAACATTTTGTCATTTGTTTTGTGGGTGCTTTTACAAACATATACATCACATACTAACTTTTAAACTTTCGCGTTTTATATTTACAACATAAAGTTACGCGGGTATTAACGCGGAAATAATTATCTAATACCTTGGTAGGCTTGACGTTTCGACCCGGTTGCACAGGTCGTGGTCACAAGCAGACTGAAGCACACAGCACACAGCTCCCCGCATTCGGGCGATGAATCTTCATACCAAGGTATTTAGATAATTGTTTTCGCGTTAATATCCGCATATTTTTATGTTGTAAATATACATCACATCCAAACCCGGAACATCAATTCGTGGTTCGAACCCGAACCCGCGACACGTTGCGGGACTAAATAAATGTCTCCACTATTTAATGGATGTTATCTATACTATTATTAGAAAGAGGTAAAATTTGTAAGTTTGTATGTAGGGGCTAATCTCCGGAACTACTGGTTCGAATTCAACAATTCTGTTTTTGTTTGTTAGTCCATTTATCGAGAAAGGCTACATGCTATAAAACATCACGCTAAGGTCTGTAAGAGCCAAACAGCGGGTGAAACCGCACGAGAGTAGCTAGTTTTTTATAAGGTAGGCTCACAGATTATGTACACAAAGTTGTAAATAGTATTCGTTATGCAAATAAACTATTCAACTTTATAATTATTATTATATATAAGTATAGATAAATAAATAACCATTGAACTTGACTCACCCACATACTGAAGTCATATCCCCAGGGTAGGAACAGAACACCAGTGTTGTACTTCTCCCAGTGGCTGATGTAGAAGTTCAATAGAAGATTCCACATCACGTAGTATATTCTAAAAGTAATATTAATAGATTGGTTACGTAGGGACGTAATACCTATTAAGTGTGGGAGAGCCATGCTTCGGCACGAATGGGTCGGCTCGGCGGGAGTGATACCACGGCCTTACAGAAAACCGGCGTGAAACAACCACAACGTTGTGTTTCGCCGTGTGAGTGAGGTGTGAGGAGGCCCAATCCTTCCCCTACCCGAATCCCTTCCCAGTCCCAAAATCCCAATCCTTAAAATGTCGGCAACGCACTCGTAACTCCTTCTTTGTTGCGGATGTCCATGGGCGACGCCGATTGCTTACCATCAGGTAATCCGTCTGCTCGTTTGCCGCCCTACCACACAAAAAAAAAATTGTAAGTATAGTGATTCGAAAAGAATCGTCGCCATTTTTTTTAACCGACTTCCAAAAAGGAGGGAGGTTCTCAAATTGACTGTATATATGCTTTTTTTAATCTATTGCTTTCCTTATTTTAAGAGAAGGATTTTTGTTTTGTTTTGTTTTATAAAAGCGCTGCCCCACACTTTCCCATGTATCGTGGGTGCGATTACAAACATACGATTTCACACACACCTCACACCTAGACCCGGAACAACAATTTGTGGATCACGCAAAGTGTGTTGCGTGTGGGAGTGGAACCCGCGACACGTTGCGCGGCACCCACAGTGCAAACCGCGCAGACAAAGTTTGTTTACTGATTCGAAAAAAATCGGCGCCAATTTAAGCAAGTGCAAGTTTTATAGTCTAGTAGACTTATCAATACTCACACTTTCAATTATGTATTTATTTGGCTAATTATAAAAATCTAAGCTTATTTTAGATAACTTAATTTTAGACTTTTTCTAATGCATTTTAAAGAGATAAGCAGGCCCATTGCCGCAAATGCATTATGACGTCAAACATTGCGAATTCATACAAAATTTACAGAAAAGCATTGTTTCCACAGATCTGCAATTATTACAATAAGTGATTACATTTACCTGATAGGCGGTATGGAGTAGTCTAACCGACCAAATATGGAGTATAGACAGGCCGGAATGAAGAATACTGTGTACGAGTCTAGGCCGTGGTCAAATAGCTCTCCAAGCGGACCCGAGGTCTGAGTGCGGCGGGCTTGCTTGCCGTCGATACCATCTGAAAATTCAAAAATAGTATTTCTTATATACTTATCAGACAAAATAAAAGGGTGATATTTAATACATGTAACTGTAAATCCCTTTATTTAATCAAAATAATCCAAATTACCATCAAAAACACATAACTACGTGCGTATCAAATTTGCTCATCGAATAAATCTGTTAGACAAGGTATACTGTTAATTAAAAGTATTTTTTTGAAGAGGGAACGTCATCAATTAATTTCAATCTCCTAGGGTATGGCTTGAGGGAGTGTCAGACTCTCACTGACCTAACCCCCCCTCTCCCCTCCCGTTTCTTCCTCTAGGCCAAGGCCGCGGAACTTTATTGCGATTACTCCACAACCATGGCTGAAAATTGGCCCTGTAGGCTCTAGGGTCCCGTCTTTGGTGGTCTATTGTGCTTCCTACGCGGACGCTAATATATGTATAGGCAGACAGATTTGGACAAATACCGAAGAGCTTTGTTGTCACTAGTTTAGAGATAAATGTGTATAAACAGTTTGTTTGTAAAAAAAATCGTCTCTCGACACCTTGATTACATATCTCCTGTATCATGGGTGCGTTTATAAACACAATTTCACATATACGTCACACCCAGACTCGGAACATTTTGTAGATCACACAAAGAGTTATTCCGTGCGGGAATAGATACTGACAGTGTTGCCCAGCCTCCGCGTCCAACTTGTGCAGTCTTTTTTACGAGTAACAGCAATTTGCTATAAGGAGTTCCTCATCAACGACTTATTTAATTTTGAACTCTATTCTGACCTTATTTTAGTGGTGATTTTCACTTACCTAAAGTATAAGCCAGGAACAAGAAAATCCCAATGAAATACCACAAGGACTGTGGTATGACTTCAACATGGCCATTCAATGGCGACTCGGTGACGGTCTCGTTGTACAACGGCGTGCTGGCGGCGTAGTAATCGTAGTCGTAGTACGAGAGCAGCATAAAGTTCAATACTATGAGGAGGAACCCGCCGAACGTCAAAACGTTTGGTGCCACCCATTTTGGTACAAACTAAAAACGATTAAAATGAACTGTAAAATCTTATCTTTTATTACACAATAATGAAGGTTAAGTTGTACTAAATGAAGTTTTTTTGTTATAGCTCAAAATGCGAATAAATGATCTAAGATTTTTGTTTGTTTGTTGAATATCAGAATTTGGGAGATTCGGATTTAACATGTCATTGACCGATTACAGTTCCTCAAGTGTAATTTCTCTGTTGCTCTACACTAGTGTGGCCCACATGCCGTCCCCCATAGCGTTTAACGTGACAGGTATGTTAAACAATCAACGCCGGCCATGGGCACTCTTTACACCAAAAGGGTTCCGAATTACGTAGCTGGCCTTTTTGTATATTGTTTGGGATATAAAGATGGAGATTTAGCGAATTAAGGATGGTGGAGAAAGGATTGGGCCTCCAGTTACTTCGCTGATTCGACGAAAAACAACGAAAGCGATGATTCACATCAGTATTCTTTGTATATTGTCTTAAGAATTCTGTTTCAGTGCGATTATTGAACATTAAATATTATACTTTGCACAATCCGGAATCAGTAGTCGTATTTCCACTCACATATCTATCATCAATCGATATAGGCTATCATAACAACGTAATAGCATTAGAAATACAATAAAAGTATCAAGTACCAACGAATATTTATTGTCGAGATTTTAAATCGTTATTTTATAATAGACAATCACTGTTTGATAATTATTGTGTGTGATAATAAATCATTTATTACGTTATTCTTTGTACAGGGACGGATTCTGATGTTTTTGGGGCCCTAGATGTTGATGGCGAAATCCTATTATCACACTAATATTATAAATGTGAAAGTTTGTGATAATGTATTTATGTATGTATGTTCTTTCAGGCAAAAACGGCTGGACTGGTTTTGTTGAAATTGGTATGTAGATGGGTTATCAGTATCACCTATATGATAAACAAAACACGCAGGCGAAGCTGCAGGCCGAAGCTAGTACTAGCAAGTATGTGATTCGATTATATTCCAAATATGAAATCGAGAAAAATTTCAATTTTGTCCAAATTATAAAATTGCCTTTGACCAGCGTTCGCCTATGACCATTGTACAATGTTGTAGGGGCCCGTATAGCCTACATAGCGATAGTAATTAGCTTTGTTAAGACTAGCTTTCTTTAGCTATCGTTATGGAATATAATACAAGTTGCTTTCTCCATCCTTTTATCCGTGTGTATGTTTAAATCTTTAAAACTACGCAACTAATTTTGATGTGTTTCTTTAAACAGAAAGTGATTGAAAAGGTAGGGTACTAGTGGAAAGATTTAGTATCTGCATTAAACCCGTGCGAAGCCGGGGCGGGCCCCTAAGTAATTCAGTACGTCTCTGTAAAGCTACCCATAAAAATAGTTATTTGTTACTTTATCTGAATTTCGTTATCGTGTCATACCTACATATTTTCTTGTGATTTTTTTTGTAGATAATTCATATCTTAAATTCTGACCTAGTATATTATGTACATACCTATATAAATATGTCATGTTGGTATAAGTAGATATACATAGAGATATCGCTTAAAGATGTAGTCATGAGTAATTTTTTGTACAGTAGCCGTTTATTTTCTAGCTTAAGTCGATTTCGGAGAATGTTGAAAAAGGCTACTGATTTTTTAGATTCTTTACTTTTGTCATGATAATCATCATACTGGATACATGGTCCTTAATGACTTCCAGATTGGTAGGAGGCAAGCGACGTTAGCTTGCAGCAAAACCTTTTTTTGTGAGGGGAAAATCGTAATATGACTTCTTTCACGCAGGTTGAGGCAAGAGCGAGTGCCAGACTCATATTAACTAAAAACCTCCTTGTTACTTCTCCTACTTTAGAACCAGTCCGAGGTGGCTTAATGCACTAGCCCCGCAACCTTGGCTTAGGTAAATCCCAAATGACTTACAAGAGTTTCTCTCTCTCTCTCTCTCTCTATTAATTGAATTTTGTTTTAGTTTAGTTTGTTATTATTTTGTTTAGATATTATTAGTTTGTTTATAATCCTGCCCGATATGTAAGTTAATTAAATTTTGTAAACCTAGTGATTTTCCTTAAGTATCCCACACATAATCTGTGAGCAGCGCTGTGGGCTACAATATTGTTAAGTATGTTTTGTATATTATACGTAGTACCTAAGCTTTATATTGTAGTTGCTTGCTGTTCCTTGTTGTTAAAAATAAAATTTAAAAGAGGTCGTCAGCGCACTTGTAGTAACTCTTTTGCTGTTACGATTGTCTAAGAATGGATGGGCGGCGCTGATTGGTTGCATTGCAATATTAAAAGTAGAATAACATTTACAGGCTTGCTCTTACAATTACAATTTTATAATAGAGGTATTTAGTCATTGACTACAGTATAATAGACAGCAGATGCTTCAAGGCAAGTCCATTGCATGACATACTAACAATTATGACAATAGCTAGTTATTATAATAACAATGACCCATGATATAAAGACAATGAATAATAAACTGCAATTATCCACCTTAATCCTATGATACAGAGTAGAAATTTTATAAACATGGAATTTTTCGATAACCTTAGATGATTTTGATAAGGAATCGTACGATATTATGTACCTAGTTATTGTTTTGTATGCATATATACATATACATATAGTATATAGTGCCTTATCATTGTGTTTCCTCATTTTATGAGTGGCAAGTGAATTTTATTATTCCAACTTTTATCTTATTGTTAAGCTTGTAAATAAAATAAAGAGCACATTATTATAATATAGATTATGTATGTACATTGAATAACCTTGTCCTGACCACTTGTTTTTATATGGAATACCTATTTAAACTAATATTATAAAGAGGTAAAATTTGTAAGTTTGTGTGTAGGGGTTAATCTTTAGAACCGCTAGTTGGATTTTCAAAAATCTTTCGCTGGTACATAGCTACGATGTTCCGAAGAGCCGTAAGCTATAAATTACACTTGTTTTACGTATTTTAATTTTTAATCCCAGGATACCTTAATTTTATATGCAGGCGGAAGCTAGTATTCCTTGGTCTAATACACATACAATATATAATGTAAGCTATAAGCATTGTTACTACTGATTACAGTATATTATTTAATTCCTCCTTAATATTTAAATTATTACATCAATATACCTATATTTGGGCAACCTAATTATAAGTGAAACAATGAAATGATGGTATAAGGAAGGAAGGAAAGCTTTAGATTTATATGTGACAATTTAAACGCTTGTGCCGGCTCAACTGTTTGAGTGGAGCAATATCATATATACCTTATAGGACATTGGCGTGAAATTACATTTGCAATGTGTTTAGCCATATGTATAGTAAGGTTACTTGGCCCCAAACTTTATATCATATCTCAATTTCTCTTAATCCTTAAGCCTCTGTCTGATTGTTGTTTTTGCTAACTACTCCTGCACTGCTTGGTTCCTATTGGCCAGAGCATAGTGTTTTATTTGCCTTCATCGAGAATGGACTATCCAACAAAGAAAGGTTTATGTGGGGCTCTACAGGGCCTAAATGCAGATGGCATTGTATCTGCAAGCCACATCTCATAGATTTACAGAAGGAAGAAAGGTCTTTGCATGGAATTTTGTTACTTATTACCCATTGTATTCTTTGAATTACTAAAATCACGACATATTTTTTTTATTTATTAGGCTTAAGTGATTTTATTATGTGTGTGAAGACTTAAGATTATTATTGAAAAAATAGTAACAACTACCATGGAGTTAATTCGTAAATTGTCTACAGTGATTATACAAACATACATGTGTAATATATGTACAAAATACAGGTAAATTTTCTGTAAATTGGTTTAAAATAAAGCCGTAACATCTCTGACTCTTTTGAAAAAATTATTCAAAAATTTTAGTAGAAGAACTTGCATGGTTCTCACACATTATATATTTTTTTTATTGTCTCAACTTTAAAAGAGACAAATAACTAAGGAAATGCCAGCTTAATCTAGTTTTTTATATGTATAAATAATTTTTATGAGTAAAGTACTGTTCTATGGCCTACTTGTAAAAATAAAATCATTGTTTCAGTGTTTCATAGTAGTATGTTTTCATTATCATGATGTTTACTTTTATAACTTACCTCTACAACTTTGTTCCAAAAAGGATGCATAACATACACACTCAGAGGACTGGTGTCTATGGCCATATACTGAAAAAAAAAGAAAGAGATATTTTTTTACAGTCTTAGGTGAAGCATGGGCTTTACGCCAAATAATTTTTAAAAAATAAGTTAGATATAATAAACAAGCAAAAAAAATTTAAGTTTATGCACACTTATACAATATATTAAAAAAAAACTGATCAATGTTACACATTAAAATAATAAACTAATTTATCAATTAATATGGTGTTTTGTAATTTTTTTAATTCAATAATCATTTACATTTCATACAAAGAACAGTATGTATAAATGATTAAGGAAATAGCTTCAATACAAAAACATACTGAAATGTTTTTTTTTAAAGTTCAAGGACATAACAGAACGATTGGTGTTTATGTTAGCTAGTTTTTTTATGGCAGTATAAAAAATGAGAATGACCTGATAAGCTTCCTGATAAACTTTGCCAAATTTTATTTAAAGGATTAAAAAAATAAAAACTGACCTCTTTTAAACTACTTTAGTTTAGTTGTATGCCTATAGAAAAGTAAAGAAGCTAAGAATATTTTTTCTTGGAAATAGTTTTTTCTAATCTTTGATATTTTGTTATTATTATAATATATTTGTGTTGTAATTCAGCAATTATTATTTTCAGTGAAATAAAGTCATTTAGGCAATTTCATAAATCACAATCAATTTAATAGCTGATATCAATTAAAAATGAAGAATGATAATGTTAATTAATGTATAAATATGACTTGCACTTTCTAAATAAGAAAGCATTACAAATATTTAGTAAAACAATCTAATTAGAAACGGATCATTTATTTTTTTAGCTACGTAAACATACGAATCTAGACCGCGTATTGTGTTTGTTTCGCATGAATAAAATCGTTTCGCATACAGCATATTGACGAGAAACAATGATGCCAAACGCATAAATTAATAGGACATAAATAGCTAATACGACTTAAGTTTAAGCCATCATCATAATGCGGCAATTACACCAACAACTTCCTGAATATGCGCTGCGTAAAAAAATCAATATCTTTAAGGTTATACCACTAAAATACACCACTAGAAACGCAAATAAAACCTTATTCTATCAACCTGCAACATAATGCAATACTATTTATAGCGGAAAACACTAATTCAATAAATAGAAACCCCCATACCTTATAATTATCGAACCCTTCAAGGTGTTCGCGGCTGAGGTACTTGTAATTGAACATTTTCACTGTTTAAACTTATTCTACACAAACGAAATACTAAATTAAAAACGTATTAATTGTTATAGATCAAATTTTTGCACTTTACATAATACATTTTCGGTCTATTTATAATTAAAAACTAAAAAATAAACGAGTTTTCGACCACGACACAGTCGCGGCTTGCTTGCTTAACGTTTTGACATTGACTTGACAGAACTAGCAAGGCGTGACCGATGACAAATGACAGTTTGTAAAGACACGACAAACGACAATTGCTAGCTTTGAAAACTACGCCTTAGGAGAAAAAATAGAACTCGCGTGTCGTTCGTTTAAAACAACAATGAATTTAACGTATCAAATGTAATTCAAGCACTGTAGTGTTCTCGACTTTTTGCATCGTACAACTACTTATTTGGAAGTATGTTTTTGAATTATAAGACAATATCATAAAGTTTCGAAATCATGTTTGTGACCTTCACCTGATAAAAAGATCACGGAAGCACCGATCGATACAAGTCATTCAAGTTTAATCTTTTAAACTAAACTATTGTGCGTCAATGGTTATCATTTCAAAGATAGGTGTTATTGTATTATGACAATTAATTTCGTTAAAGTATGGACTACAGAATTAAAATTATTCCTAAAATCACCATTAAAGATTTCACGTTAAATTGAACTTTAAATGAGTAAACCGTTAAAAGTAGGCGCTTCAATTTCTAGCCCCTTTTAGATATAATTAGGTTTAGATGGTATCACTAATCGTTCAATGCAATAGATTTTATTTGGCTATATACTTAGGTACGCACTTGAGTGAAAGATTTGTAGAAATATACATATAAAAAATCTACTGCATTTTTCAACAGGTACCAAGAGAAATTTATTGAAAAGAACGACACGCTCTGAGTAAAGTTTGAATTCAATACAGACTCTTATTCGTAAGTGGCGTTCGCAACGCATACGAAGCAAATTTACGTAGGTCGTTATTTTTAATATATTTAGAATGTCTCTCGATAGCAACATTAAAAAAATAAGAAAAAATGAATGATGTAATTACTGATACCCTATTTACCATTTATCATTATCAACAATAAGATGCCTTACATAAAAGTCTGAGCAATTGATTCTGTTGCCTTATTGCTTTACTAAAGTTCAAAGGCGCAATCTAGCAAGATGATAGAGATAGGCCAAAAAGAAGATCACCTTTCAGTCGTAGCGTGATGCTAATACCTTTTTCTAAATGTAGGTACTATATAATTTAAATTGTTCAACTAGAATAATCTAATTTTGGAGACTACCTCGGTCAAACTCATCTTGAGCTAATGAATAGAAAATTCACCATGCAACTATCGGGAACGAGAAATGATCTCCGGCCACCGTAAGCGCAGGTTTATGGACGGCGAGTAAGGGTAGCTCGCCGTCTGACCAGAACCAGACCCGTAGCGTTCCGCGCGCGTCTAAAAGAGCCAATAGACTACCACAGACGGGACCCTATAGGGCTGATGTTCAGCCGGGATTGCGGGGTAAGCGCAATGAGGCACCGGGACTTCGGCTCAGAGCAGGAGAAGGAACGGGGGGTTTTTAGTCAGTAGGAGTCTGACACTCTCTCTCGCCTTACCCAGGGCGGGAGAAAAAAAAAAAAAAGCTATCGGGAAATGATACTCGTGATTGTGTGTATGATCCTTATTCGATAGAAATGTCGAACTTGCCGATTTTTCTACCTAATTACTTCAAAAAGGTACCTAGTCCTTTTTTCTCAAAGTTTCCTAACTAAATTTTTACATATTGTGTATGTAGATGTAGACACCTATTTACTAAATACTGAATATTTTTATTCGTTTCGTAATAATTTAAAATGTTGCGTAGTCCTGTGTAATAATTATCCTTCAACGGAGTTTCTGCTCCAGATACCAACTCAGAGATCAAGAAGAAATCGAGTCAAGCAGGAATCAAGTATCAAGTTCTCCTTCTGCAGCATCAAGTCAGCGTAATAACGTTAGCCTTATTGATTGTAATTTTGTAGTTTCTTCTCTACATATACCTACATAGTTCGACTTGGGGGTACCCAAGAAACAGCTGCACGGAAAAGTAATGTGGTAACATTACTGTTCCGTGCAGCGGTTTCTAGAGTGCATATAGTCCTGATGATTACTAACTTTCATCAGAATGAGGAAAACGGTGGCAAGGCTTTTTCGAGGAGGGTCGAATCATCCATCATTTAAAATGGGGTTGCGGTGGCATATTCCGCTTTGTCCGTAACTCTGGCCGGGTATCGTGTCCAAGTAGCCCCATCTTTGTAAGCCCGATGACTAAGTATTTGAGGAGCGCGTGGAACGGTGTCATTTTGGTCGAGCAGCGTGTTACCCTTGCTTGATGTTTGCAGTGCTGCCTGTGGCTGCAGATCATAGCACGATTGTGTCAACATAAATTTTACTTACGAATAGGTAGCACCCAGGTAAGCACCCACACATACAAACATAACGAATTTATGCCGAAGGTCCTATTATAATCTATTCAATGCACAGATTTTAAAATAGATAAGTAATATGCAAATTTTTCAGCTTATCATTATTTTTGTTTTGTATTTAAGTAGATATATTAGATTGCGAAACATTTGTTTTATTTGCGTGAACACTAAAATGACGCTGTGCATAAACGCGTTGTGAAGATAATCTAATTGATAAGACTTATTTTTTTAAGCAGGCGTTTGAACCCGTATTGTTACGGACTAGCAATTTTTAAGTATATTTTTTAACCTTTTTTCCTTAATCACATTACAGCCGCTTCTAAGACCATTACGCAAGATATAGATCAATGTTGTATGACACGAAATATGGTGTATGATGTCACCTCATAAGACCCCGATGTCGATGGCTGCACTATCAGAATGATAAGATTAAATTATTATAATAGAACAGTACAGATAACTAACGATATTGCAAAATAAATTGTCAAACACATTGAAATTGGTCGGTGGTGGACGTGAAACGAGTGAAAAATATCTGTGCTAGTGTGTATGAGTGAAGAAAATAAAGCGTGGTTCGCTCCCAATTGTTGTTTCAAACACAAAAAATGGAGAACGAAACCGAATATTATCAGAGTTACCCCGGTATATACTTTTTGTCAAGAAAAGGCAAAGGGAAAAAGAAGAAGAAAGGTAAATCAGGCAAAAGGTCCAACAATAATGGTGATAAACAAAATGAAAAAAGTGAATCAGAGACATTGGAATCGGTAGAAGATCCTTCCAACCTAACGGATGAAAATGGCAGCGGGCTGGATGAAACAGAGGATGACTCTAATAAGTCTGTAATTTACCGTGCAAATGACGGTGAATCAGCTGATCTCAACGAAAACCGAATATCAATTGACGCCATGATGTCTGCGCCGCCGGAATACGAGAAATCACCAGAAAAAGAAAAATTCGTTGATAATGAAGATATAGAAACTCTAGAAAGTAACGTAGACAAATTACAAATTGAAGAAGAATCCGTATTTGAAAATGAAGACACGAAATATACACTGATCAACACAAGAGCCTTACCGAAAGAGGCGACGACGTATGAATTAGAGAAATTTACTAAACATGCAATGATTATATTTAACCAGAAGGAAATTGATGGACATCTCCCTCGGCTTGGGACTGAAAAAGACGTTGAGGCTTTGACTAGAACCTTTTCTAATTACGGTTTCGAAGTGACACCGCACAACAATTTGACGAAAGATGAGTTATTTAAGGAATTGAAAACATGTAAGTACGTGATCATCCATTTGCAATAGACAAAAGTGACTTGTGTTTAGTTTAGGTTTATTAGGGCGTATCTTGATCATTCTATAACCAATTCGTGTTTGTGTTATCAATGAGCCTAATATTCTTGTTGGTACTTACCCTTTTTGTATCTACATGGCACTAGTTTAAAATATTTTAGGCGTGTTACAAATATGCTGAAAAATTTTTGACAATAGAGGATAGAAATATCTCGATTTAGGGTATGAGTTTTGATTGGGCCTGCAAAACCTTCACTCATACAGCGAAACACAACGCTCTAGTCTAGTTGTTTCACGCTGGTTTTCTGTGAGGCCTTGGTACCACTCTAATCGAGCCAACCCATTCGTGCAGAAGCATGGCTCTCCCGCACTTTTACGTCATCCTTAGACTTAGAGGCTATTGTTAGTTACTAAAGTAAAAGTCAAATCATTTATTTCAAATTGACCACAGCAGGCTCTTTTGAACGTTAAGCAAAAAGAAAAACAATTTAAAAAGGTTAAACTTTTTGTGTGTCAGTATATCCGTCTGTCCTCTAGTGGCTATTTGCTCGTTCCAAAATGTCTTTTTCAATCAGTTTTACAATTCATTACTTAGTTACATCTTTTAGTCGGTTTTATTATGTAAGAACAGTGTAACACTAATGTTTAGTAAATACAAATTGATCAGATAATAAACATGTTGGAAATGTCTTTGTTTAAACCTAGGCTTAAGCTAATTCGAGGTTTAGATGTGAGATTATTCTCAGACTTAGGGAGCGGTCGTATGGGGCACATTCCTGTCGATTGTTTGAATCACGTTTAAGACTTGTTTCTGCAAATAGTTTAGCATTGTTACTAGTAAAAGATTAATCGTTTGATTGCTTTAGTTTAATTAAATATAATTCTATTTTGTGACTTTAGAGAGGTTATTTTTAAGGTGAACGTCACGTATTCGGATCTTAGCTGAGCCATTTTTCTGCATAAGCGAGTGATGTTATTGGAGGCTCAATCCCTGTATTCACAGTATGTACCATTAGGAAATAGACATTAAGGTTCTCTAGTCTAGAGAACAGAAAAGGAGAATCCTCCGACCAGGCGAGGTGATCAGGCAGGCTGACCACTGCCCAGAAGTTGTATGTTGGGGTTTTCTATCGATTTATTCCATTCAAGCCTAATTATAGTGAATTTGAACACTTTTTTATCAATGCACAAGCAGGTGTAGCTCTTTTTTGTCAGCGAAAATCATAAATAGGCTTCTCTCGTCAAGGTTGAGAGTTTGAGACAAGAGGAAGTGTCAGACTCTTACTGATTAAAAGTTTCCCGTTCCTTCTCCCGCTTTATGCCGAGATTGTGGTACTTTATTGCAAGTTATGTCTAGCTTTGTGTAGGTATATCTCCGTAAAAATAGAGATAACAAGACACTTAAACAACTCCTTCTGTTCATTAGGTATCTTTGGTTATTAATTTTTATAGGAATGACATCAATTAATTTTTGAATGAATGCAATTGGGAATTTACCTTTTAGAAGCACTTTTATTGGGAATCCCTGAACTGAGAATTTATCGCAGATATTACATAGAATTCAGTAAGTAATACTATAGAAGGGGCAAACTAGGGCCGATGTGTAGCTGGGTCCCAGGCAAAGAGCTGTTCCGCAGCCCCTATTCAGAGAATTAGATGGAACAGGGTGATATTAAGTCATTGAGAGTCTGAAATTCGCAATCAAAAAATTTGAAAAATTTCTCCCTAAAAAAAATGAAGTGAGATGGATTAATTTTTTCCCCTCGGATTTAGAGCCTTGCTATTAAGGAGTCGATTAATGGTCTCTCATCCCCCCACCGGGAGTATCCAGCACTGGATCTTTACAAGCTGTTCATGACGATAATGAGGGATGTTATATAGCTCAGTTTCGCAAGTTACGGTTTCATATAGGCATGGAATCTAAATAAAGCCTATTGTGTCAAGTTTTTTGTGAATCACCCCCCGTGTATCTTGGTTAGGTACCGACCTTTTGGGGATTAGGGTTTGGAGATGTAGTGAGATCGGTCGAGCCGACCCATTCGTGCCGAAGCTTGTCTTTCCCACACTTAGAGTTAGTAGTTAGGTTAGTTAATATTATTTAAATCCACACCCTTAATCGGAGCAAACGGATAATCCAAATCATATCTGTAACTGTAAACCCTGCAACGATATTCGTTTCAGATCCGTGGTATCGTATTTGTACCGACAAAACAGGATTTGTAGCAGATAATAACAATGAGATAGCTAGCGGAAGAGCGATTTAGGTTGAAAGTAAAATCTTACTAAGGTATTTTTACGTCATTACAGTTAGCGAGAGAGACTTTACCGACTATGGCTGCGTGGCGGTCGCCATTTTAACTCATGGCTCTAACAACGGTCTACTAAGGGCAAAAGACCAACAGTACAGCGAGATTGAAGTCATCAACCATTTCAAAGACTCTTCGAAACCCACCCTTGTGACTAAACCCAAGATAATTATCATCCAGGTGAGTTTTATATTTAAAGGAATCACGGATCTGTTAAGATGATTTTAAAGGTTTATTTCGAGTGCAAATTAAATACTTAAAAGGTTTTTGGACCGCGCTTAACTGGGCATAGGTCTTCTCAATAGCAAAAACCTTATCTTCTTCACTTGGGTTAAGAAGGTTGACATCCACAGTGACATGCGACTGACTTTGAAAACTAAAAATAATGGTCCATTTTGCCGTAAGTAGAAGTCAGTTCTTCATTCGTGTGAACTGTGGGGATTCTTATGTCGTCTTTTGCATTTGCTTTATTAACACCAAAACCATTTAGCTTATATGATCAAAAGGAAGCTATTTTTAAATTTTGTATCTTTTGCACCTATTTGTTTATTAAACCATTAGTTAAAAATAATAGTGGACCACGCTTACATCCTTGCGAGAAACCCCTTCAAAGTGCTGTGTTAAGTTTTAATGATAGCCATATCAGGCAGTACATATCTACGTTTCAAATTCTCTCATAGCATAGTTTCTCTGATCCTTATCAGATAAAATTGGAACAGCTAATTTGTCAACCCTTTTGTGGATCGGATCCGGCCTTGATAGGTAATCCACGAGTGGACTGACATTTTCCGATAGCCTATCACAGATCACGGAGTAATTTCATTGCCAACATTATTACTCATTTCTCACTTTATTACGTGTTATCAATAAGATTGAAAGAACAAAGACCAATTGTGGTATTTTCTTTATTTCTAATCATGTTATGAGTCATTTTCGTTTGTTTATGTTTTTTTTTGTATTGTAGGTATGTGTGTGAAAACGGAACTTCACACTTTTAGACGTAGTTTTTATATTGATAAATTCAATGTTGCAATATTGCGTTTATGATGAGTAATAACTGTAATGTGGACTCTTTACCTACAGATAGGTAATGAAACGAAGTTGCATGGAAATATACAACTTAAATTAGAGGTTATATTTATTAATTTCTTTCTTCTGCTCTTGTGGAACCACCGGTATATATACGCCAAAAATTTTTAAAGTTAAACATTTTATTCCAATTTTCCCTTCTTGAGTAATAATTATCGCGAACCAAGCTAAAGTAAATGACAATAACGGTTAACTAACATGAACACATTTGAGAAAATTTGGTGCCACGCTCCGCACCCTGTTCATTAATAAGATTACCCTCGTCGCTTCAAACTAGTAGAGCTTTTCTCAATTCTTTTGCTTATGTAAATCGTAAATTCCTTGGTCAAATACTTCATTCCAGGCATGTCGAGGTACGAAGATCACCCAAGGTCTACCAGTGTTCCACGCTGGAAAGATCCGTAAGGACGTGGATGAGGAGGATCTGGAGCCTTACATCTTGCCAGTGGAGTCTGATCTCTTGATCCTTCACAGCTCATATGTTGGCAGGGCTTCACACAGGTAAATATAAAGTTACAAATTGGAACCAAAGTTTCTAACCTAATCAAAGGTCTTTAGGCAACAGAAAGATATACAGGCGGTTTTATAGCCAGAGACATTCTCATCAGTCATCCTTTGCTTGTTTTAGAGAATATACGAATAATAAAATGGCTTTTAGTAGATGCGGGTGAATTTTTAATCGGCTTCCAAAAAGAGCAGGTTTCTCAATTCGATATGCTTTTTTACCAAGTCCATCTTATTCATTGTCTGTTTAACGTTCTTTTAGTAGGTATGTTTTCATAGTTTTTAATTCATTATTCATCTGTTTTATGTAGGTATATGAAGCACCTATATCTAGTTTTTTATTATACAGTCCAATTTCCGAGCCTTTATTAATCATTGGATCTTCATCTCTACAAAAGTAACAATAGTTACTTATTTTGCTGTGCCCTATCAGGGTCCATAATATGTACCTAGATTTAAGCCCTTTACATCTTTGTAACATTATGGCATGCAAATAAATAAATATGAATATGAATATAGTTTTTACTACCTTGTAAAGAATTTTACAAACATTCTTCCAGAAACGAGCTCTACGGCTCCTGGTTCATCCAAACGTTATGCAAGAAGATCGACAGCCTATCTCCGAGTCAAGACCTGGAATCCATCCTGACGGAGGTCAAAAGGGAGGTGGCAATAGACAAACAACACGAGGAGTACAACAAACGGACATTTGAGATGAACGTCAACAAGCAAATGCCTGTGTTAACATCCACTTTGATAAGGAAGTTGTTTTTGAAGAAATATGGCGAGAAAGGAAGGAAAGATACGTATGTGGACCAGTCGAGACGTCCCAGCGAGTCAAGGCACGACGCATTGGATGCCATCAATCCAGTACCAGCCACACCTTTACTTGTACAGTTTGGACCATGTTCCTGTTTTTTGGACCACTTCGTCTATATGAGGGATTGTTTGAGGTTAGTTTTTTTATGTGGTAGGCCAGCTAACGAGTTCACGGATTACCTGATGGTATGCAATCAGCCCCGCCCTTGGACACTCGCAACAACGGAGGAGCAACGAGTGAATTTTCGATCTTTTGCGGCGATTTGGTCATTTTGGGATTGAAGCCTCCTTACTCACACGGCAACACATATGCTGTGGTTGCGGGGTAAGCGCAATGAGGCATCGCGACCTCGGCACAGAGCAGGAGAAGGAACAGGGGGGTTTTTAGTCAGTAAGAGTCTGACACTCCCTCCTGCCCGGCCCTGGCGGCCCGGCGGGACAAGTCATTTGATGATTTTCCCATCACAAAAAAAAACACATATGCTGTGGTTGTTGCAAGCCTACCCATTTGTGCCGAAGCATGGCTCTCCAACACTTAAAGTGTAGTGTATTGTTATCGGATGGGAACTTATACTCGATTGCCAACGTTTAGTAAAGTCAGACTTAAGCTTGACGTACATTGTTCTGAACTGTCATGTTGATGATGATGAATGACCTTTCGTGTTGATGTCAATCTCCAGGCTGTGTTATTATGCTTTTTGGTTTCAATATACAATTTTACAGAAGACTATACGTAGCGTTTGAAGATGAATATAAAACACGACCTTCTTTCTATGATGAAGAATAAAATTATCAGCCCTAATATAAAATGGCATTAGTGTAATAAAACCTTTTTTCATTACAGGTACTTCGTCGAAGAAAATCCTTGTGACGAGACAGCTCAAAACTTTTTGGACATTGCCAACACATTCGAAGATGGCGTTGAATTCAATACTTCTAAGGACAAAATGTGTAAAGCTATCAGCAAGCATTTGATGATCAACGCCCGATCCAGCCAGTATTATAAATTCTTATATTTCTATCATTCACAACAAAACTCTCAACAAACTACACCGCCACAGTCGTTTCAATATTAGCTCAAATTGTTTTTTATAATCTCTTATTAAACGTTTATTTACTTTACGACACTTTTGTTTTTATTATGATTGGATATCAGCTTTTTGTCAGAAAATTATCCCGAGGTAAGGTCATAAATCACGTTCGAAGAATTAAGAATTACTTTATGACACCTCATTATACATATGCTGTAGACTTTTTTCTTGTTGTTTTAGTCGTCACATTTGCTTGCAGATGTAAAATTATACATGCTACTTCAGTTGAGGATATTCCAATCAACATACGTAGGTACACCTGAAGTAAAACACATTGTTCCCGTAATTTTTGTCCAAGTTGCTGGAATAAAACGGGAGGTGATATGCTTAATAAAATTCCCCAAGAGTAGATGTTATTAATAATAATAATGTTTTGTAGTTAAATATTCAGTATTATTGCTCAAAACAGCTGTTGTTGCCATCTGCCATAACAACTTTTGGAAACAAATGCCGTTTACAGGAAAGGCAATAAATAAAAAAATAAACATAACCTATAAATACTCCGAATTCTCAAATAAAAACTATGATATGTGTGCCAAGGTTGAACATCAAAATAATAATAACCTATTTTCTAAACATTAACTTTATTGTTCCAAATTCGATTTCAAATAATCACATTCCTTTTTACGTTCGTTGACGGATAAAACCAATATGGCCGTTCGCGCCCTTTTACATGTTAGGTTTATTCACAAAAGTTGTTAAAATACAATGTTGTTTGAATACTTAACGTTATCGATTCGCAGTACGAACAAATTAAAATGGGTTGCTGGATCCATATCATATTTTAGCGATAGTGTGGGAAGTTCGATGGTTAACATATGCGCGAAAGAGCATCTGTTTTATGTGTCCTAATTTTAACATCCATTTTCTTTACCATGTCATTGGGGGTCTTGAATTTATTAAGGTGTGTGGGAGACATTCTTGTTATACACAACTCAATTTTTGACAGTATAACTTGAGTTGTGTATTATAACTGTAGCACTCATCCGAAGACTTTATAACACACATCTGAAGACGTCTTGAGAAAGTTATTATGGACCCGGTTATTATGGTCTTAAATTGCAAGCTAGGTACCTATTGAAGAACAGCCAGGGTTGCTGGTCAAGCACAATGTTGTATCGCGGCCCTAGCCTAGATAACCAACGTCGTGGTTTAAGGGTTTGGACCTCATCTAGCAGCACGGATTTGTTCCACCTGTTTTATCACGTGCTGCAGTATGCTGCAGAAGCAAACGCGCGCTATCGCGTTCCACAGACAGCATGCGATATAAAGTGATCGGCGGTGAAAAGATGCGTTAGCATGCTATCGCACGCTTCCGTGGTCCGGAGTCTCCCTGCCGACCATTGCATTTTGTCCGTGATGCCGATCGCCTCAAGGATTCCGCCGGCTATCGCATTATGCTTTCTGTCTCGGTCTAACAAATGGCAGTTCTAAACGACAGAAAGAGAAAGGGCGACGGAAAAAGGCGACTCCGTGCTGCCAGAATATGAGGTCCAACCCTTAGTCAGTAAAAGTCTGACATTCATTCTCTTCTCACCTAGGGCGAAAAATGTCATTTGATCATGTTTGAGTGTAATTTTGTTTACTTAGTAGTGGAGGTGTTCTGGATGATAAAGTCAAAAAAGTCAAAAATCATTTATTCCAATTAGACCTTTACAGGCACTTTTGAAAGTCAAACAAAATTTAAAAAAAAAAATAGTGTCAGTCTGTCGGTCAGTCCTCTTAGTGAAGCTATAATGATGATGATATCTCTTCTGTAGATTCTGATTTATTAAGAGCCAGACATAGCCTTCTAATTTAACTTTTAAATCATAAGTTCGATACACAATAGAAGAATAGGTGTTGATTAATAGGTTGGCGTTCGCTTGGGGTTTGATGAATAAATTAATTAGAAGAATGGTGATGGCCCGGAGGTTAGGAAAAGTAACGATGTGACCTTTTCTAAGTTTTATTTGTATTTTTTCTTAACCAAAAAAGGTTGCCTCACACAAGAATTTTCTCCTGTGTCGTGGGTGCGTTTACAAACATACAATTTCACATACACTTCATACCTAGACCCGGAACAACAATTTGTTGATCACACAAAGAGTTGTTCAGTGCGGGAACCCGCGAAACGCTGTGCGGCAGCCAGTTACCCACCCACCGCACCAGCTATGCAGTCAATTTACTTAATTAATTTCTAAGTTTATTTAAACACAACTGACGGACATTGTTGAATGAAAACAGTCGTGAAAATACCTGGAATTATCATTGCTAATAATAAGTTTGAAATCGCCTGTCTGTCTTAAGCAAGCGTGGTGTATAATGCTTGCACCTTCTCCTTGTTTGTAGAGGCCTTTGCTCTGCAGTGGGCACTTATAGGCTTACAGTATGATTGTGAAATGTCTTTCGTTGTTCAGGTGGCATCTTATTTAAGTCTTCAATAGTAAAAGCCCTACCATTGTTATGCAAATAAATGTAAAAGTTATTCTCTTCCATGACAGAGTGACAGAGTATTCCCATAAATGTTTTAACAGTTCATTCCTTAGGCTAAATACATTTAATTATGTAAGTAGTTAGTACTTTCTGTGCTTTTGTTAAGTTAATCAGTTCGACAAGGAAATGTCAAGTAAGTAGATATTTTGCATAATAAGGTGACTTTTGTGTGGAAACCCTAAGTGTCTCACATAACAATATGTGTACCTATTTATACTAATATTATTAAGCTGTAGAGTTTGTTTGTTTGGTCGCCCTAATCTCCGGAACTACTGGTTCGACTTTCGACAATAGTGATGATGACTAAAAAATAATAATTAGTCCATCTTTTAGAACGCCAGAAAATAGTAGATACTTATGTATTTTTCTTTTGCTTCTAAAACTTAAAATAACAAGGTTACAGAGCGGGTAAAGTTCGCGCTACATCATTTTTTATGAAAGTGTGACGTCGCGAGCCGGAGCCGTCTCCTGAATTTGAATGTGCTGTATCTTTGTTAATATTATTCGTAAGGACAAATAAAAAAATACGTATCGAGTATTTTTCTATAATCTAACTGAAGGACTAATTAGAATCTTGTTGTTTTAACCCAGGAGACATCCCTATTGTTTTTGTGTTAGTTACTCCATTTATTGAGAAAAGCTATTATAGACTATAAAATATCACGCTACGATTTGTGAGAGCTGAGCAGCGGGTAACCGCACAAGAGTAGCTAGTGTAAGTATAGTATTCTCAAGGCCTCTTCTCACACGGAGAAGGATTGATTCAATTAGACTAACATCACACTTGCTCAATGTGGATTGGTGATTTCAAAGTCGTTTTGAACTAAAGCTCTTGTGTGGAAGTCTAGACTTATAATTTCTAATTAAAAGTGTTTCCTTATCGCGATGTTTTCTTTTACCGTATGTATAATCATAGATCAGATCAGATCGTCACACCACCTTCGCCGTGGTCGACCTTGACGGCGTCGACCTCCTTCAGGTGTCCAGTGAGTGACAACCTTCGCCCATCTGTCCGGGTGCATTGTAACGCGGCCGTGGCCAGCCCATTCCCACTTCAACCTGGCTGTTTTTTCTCCGACATCTGCTATTTGAGTTATGGAGCGCAGGACGATCTGATCATGTTCGCGGGGCAAACTTGGCCGGAGATCGCTCTAGACAGAGAAGTTTGGAAGGAAAAAGGGGAGGCCTTTGCCCAGCAGTGGGACACACAATAGGCTATAAATAAAAAAAATACTACTCTGTCAAGAAAGTACCGGGAAAAAGTCAATAATACACAAAATGTTTGTTATTCATCTAAATTTATTTTATCACCTTCAAAGTATGCTCCTTCAGAAACGATACACTTACGCCAACGAATAATCCAATCACCGAAACTTTTTTTAAACGCTGTTTCCGGAATTGAGTTCAGTGCTCGCCGCGAATTCTCCTTTATGTCTTCTAACGATTGAAAACGGGTGCCACGAAGGGGTAATTTGAGTGTGGGAAAAAGAAAGAAGTCGGCTGGAGGCATATCTGGTGAATATGGTGGCTGCTCGATGGTGTTTGTTGAGTGTTTGGACAAAAAATCGTTTACAATGATGGCCTTGTGCGAAGGCGCATTATCGTGATGCAAAATCCAAGAATTTTCTTTCCACATTTCTGGCCTTTTTCGTCGAATTTGTTCTCTTAAACGCCGCATAAGCCTTAAATAATATTCTTTATTTACCGTTTGACCTTCGGGCAAGAATTCTGAGTGCACAACACCGCGATAGTCAAAGAAAACAGTCAACATGACTTTGACTTTTAATCGACTTTGACGTGGTTTTTTCGGTTTTGGTTCAGTTGGAAGGCGCCATTCCGAAGCTTGTTGACTAGTTTGCATGTCAAACTCGTAAACCCACGTCTCGTCACCAGTAACAATGCGTTTCATGAATGTTGGGTCGGTATTGACTCGTTCTAGCATGTCCTCAGCGACTTTCATGCGATTTCGTTTTTGAAGAAAATTCAGGTCTTTTGGGACTAGCCGAGCGGCAACACGTTTCATACCCAAATTATTTGTTAAAATGGTACGGATCGACTCGTGAGATACAGAAAGATCGGCGGCCATCTCTCTCAAACTTTAATGAGGATTTTCAGTCACTATTTCCTTCACTTTTGCGATGTTAACTTCAGTTGCAGACGTTGATGGCCTACCAGAACGAGGCAAATCTTCCATCACATCTCGACCGCTTTTGAACGCTTTGTACCACTCATAAGCACGTGTTTTTGATAAAGTCGATTCACCGTAAGCCTTCTGTAACATTTTGAGTGCCTCCGAACACGAAATTTCATTGGCGATGCAAAATTTAAGACAAACTCTTTGTTCGATGTTTTTGTCCATTATGAAATTCGCAATGCACACTAGATATTATAAAACTAAAAACAGCACTGTTTTTAATATAAATAACAGATGCAACTCAAATTCCGCGCCAAAATGGAAAACAGTTATGCCAATCTAACAACAACAAAAAAATTTAAAATTCGAATTTGGAACCATAAAAAAAACATTCATTCCCGATACTTTGTTGATGTATAATC